TTCAGCCACGGGGATCTTGATCGTTGGCTGCGGCACGACAACCTCGGCAGCGAGGCTGTTGGCTCCCACTGTGGTCGCCAATTTGTTTACGGTGAAAGTTGATTTCTTCATTGCTATCGAATCTATTACAACTTTAGTCGTTATAATAAACTCGAATGAAATAAAAAGTTGATCTTTTTATAAGATCTCCTTACACAATGAAAATAAAAAAAGTTTATAACTTTATCAAACAAACGCAGAGATCGTTTATCGGTCTTCTGCTTACGTGGGATCTTTGCCTGTGTCGAGGTTTATCCGTGGACCATCGTCGATCAGATCTGATTGCTGAAAAATTGGGCAGAGCTTCGTCGACCCGCGAGGAGATCTAGAAACAGAAGCGCTTATCTCGACAAAAGCGAGATAATTGCTCTTCTTAGAATTACCACAATGGGATAATACTAAGGATTGGATACGGGTAATGTAGATCTGACAACTTTCGATCTCTTGCGTTGAAGAACTCGATCCGATCTCTCCTCCTTCTCTCTGAAATCCGTGCACCTTCAGTCTTCAATCCGGCAGGGCTTCGCCTAATCTCCAAAATTCCAGATCCGAAAAAATAAGGCTCCAGGGGCTGTATTTATAGGCTTCCAGGAGGTCCAGGCGGTTCAAACTGATCGAAAACCGTCAAAAAACACGTCCCAAGTGCGAGACAGCTCAGGGTGTCTCGCACCTGTGCGAGATAGTTTGTACCCTCTTTAGTATTTTGGCTCTAATTCTTTCATCCGAACTCGGATTTGAGTGATTCAAGATGTGTTGGAAATCTAACAAAGAGATCTACAACTTTCATGTTTTAAGTTTCTTCAGATTCTAACCGGAACATGGCCAAAAGTTCTCCACAAGGTCCGAGACACCTTTGGGTGTCTCGGCCAGGTCCGAGACACCTTTGGGTGTCTCAGCGCTATTTTGATCATAACTTCCTCATATGGCCTCCAAATGACCTAATTCCAGATGGGTTGGAAAGATAACAAAAAATCTACAACTTTTATGTTTTGAGTTTCTTCAGATTCTAACCGGATCATGACCAAAAGTTCTCCACAAGGTCCGAGATACCTTTGGGTGTCTCGGCCAGGTCCGAGACATCTTTGGGTGTCTCGACGCTATTTTGGTCATAACTTCCTTATATGACCTCAAAATGACCTGATTCTAGATTGGTTGGAAAGCTGACAAAAATATCTACAACTTTCCTGTTTTGAGTTTCTTTAGATTCAAAACCAATAATGGTCAAAACAGCTCCACAAGTTCCAAGACACCTTTGGGTGTCTCGGCCAGGTCCGAGACACCTTTGGGTGTCTCTACGCTATTTTAGTCATAACTTCCTCATATGACCTCCAAATGACCTGATTCTAGATTGGTTGGAAATCTGACAAAAATATATACAACTTTCCTGTTTTGAGTTTCTTCAGATTCAAAAAGAATCATGGTCAAAATAGCTCCACAAGTTCCGAGACACCTTTGGGTGTCTCGGCCAGGTCCGAGACACCTTTGGGTGTCTCGGCGCTATTTTGGTCATAACTTCCTCATATAACCTCCAAATGACCTGATTCCAGATTGGTTGAAAAGCTGACCAAAATATCTACAACTTTCATGTTTTGAGTTTCTTCATATTCAAAACGAATCATGGTTAAAATAGATCCACAAGTTCCGAGACACCTTTGGGTGTCTCGGCCAAGTCCGAGACACTTTTGGGTGTCTCGGCTTTGACCGAGACACCCTTCTCGTTTGGCCGAGACACCCTTGGGTGTCTCCGCCATGGCCGAGACACCTTAGGGTGTCTCGGTCGTGCCGAGACACCTCGGGTGTCCCAGTTCAGCCTGAGACGTTCCGTTATGCATGTTTGTTCGTTTTCGCCGTAACTTCTTCATCCGAACTCGGATTTGAACGATTCAAAGTGCGTTGGAAATCTGAAGAGGAGATCTACAAGCTCCAATGATTGGATCGTTGTGAAGTCAACTGGGACACGAGGGGCGTTGCGCCTTTTGTAAGCGACGCGGGGCTCCCGATCAATTTGTATCCTCGTTATTCTGAAACTCCGTTGCTTCACATAGTTCGCCGATTCACTTCAAGCGTTCGTCGACATCAATCAAGCTTCTGTGACTTGGATAGTGACGTTCATCGTCTTCTCTTAGCTTTGAGCTATTCGTGGAGACCTATAGGCAATTTTCAACGCCTACAGTATGATCTTAAAAAAACTGATGCAGGGGGTTGTAGATCTATTGAACTCCTCCTTTTTATGCTGAAGAACTCGCCAAGATCTCGGTTTTAGATCTAAAATTCATGGCTCTCCTCTCATAGGCTTAAGAACTAGCCTCCAAGCTCCAAATTCCATATTACCCGTGTATAGGGGCCCTAGGGGTGTATTTATAGGCTTCGGGTGCCCTATTTTCGAATAAGAATTCATGATTTAACCTTATCTTCAGTTAATAATAGCTCTCCTACGTTTAAGGATAGCCTTAAGGCAGTTAGGGAGGCTTCGGAATCGTCAAAACCGATAAAAAACCATCGAAAACGCATCCCGATATGCTGATTTGTGCAAAATAGTCCTGTCTATTCCGCACATGTGCGAAACACTTTGGTGTGTTTCGTACATGTGTGAAACACTTTGGAGTGTTTCGCACATGTGCAAAATAGTTTGTACTACCTTTGGTATTTTGGCTTTAATTCTTTTGTCAGACTTCAGAATAAGATGATTCAAGTTGCGTTGGAAATATGGCAAAGAGACCTACGACTTTTGTCTTTTAAGCTTTTTCTAATTCGGATTGAATCATGGTCGAAATTTTAGTTCTTCATACTTATGCATCCATTTTCTTCTCGAACATGCATTCTAAATCTCGTTGTTGATTCATCGCTTCATCACTTCATGCATTCCTTTACTTCCCCCTTGGCATCGAATAATCATCTTTGATTCGGACATCGACATTCATCGCCTTCTCTTCATCTCGAGCTGGGTGTGGGAACCTATAGACAATTTTTGACGTCTACAATAATGGTTTAGTGTAGTTTATCCTATTAAATAATTGAAATCAGAAGTGACTATCACAATATGTTATTGGTATTAAGTGTAACTATTTAGAGAATGTCAGGAAAAAGATAACAAGATTAATGAAGTTTAGTTAATTTAAGTTAAACTAATAACTTTCAAGTTGGAGGGGTATATTTAAGAGAACTTATAAGTTTGACAGACTTATTTAAGAATTATTGTAGATTTGGGAGACTTATATATAAAAAGGTTAGCACTGGACAATTATTATAAAGAAACAATTTTAATTACACAATAATAATTAATTCATACATTTATTTTGAAACAATCTTATTATACAAATTTATTTATTAACACATAAAAATCAAAACTTAAACAACTACATTCACGTGCAAAGCACATGCATTATACTAGTGTGGGAAAAAATATACAATAATTTTCTCTACCAAAATTGAGTAGGAAATCTATTAGAACATTGTACCGTGCGAATGTGTGGCGTGTCAAACAGGGTGACACTAAAAAAATTCAAACTGCACTCTATTTTGCATAGTGCATGATTCCAAATATTCTGCGTGGTGTGAAGTAGGGCTAGTAAATGATCGAATCGAAGCGAACAACCACTTATTCAAATTCGGATTCAGTTCGAATTCGCGGTCATATTCGAGTCGAATACTAAATGACCAATCAAATTCGATTCGACAATATTTATTTGCGTTCGATAATTATTTACGAGTATTTGTTTAACAACAAACTACGATTTCCCTGCATTATTTGTTTAACAATCGATATCTATTCATCAATTATTCGAAATGGATAAATCAATCTTTGATCAAAATTAAAAAAAATATTGTAACTTTAAGCCTCAACTTACATTTTGATGAAGGGGTCACAGATTGGGGAGGTAGAGGTGAAGCTAGTGGAGTTTCATTGGGTTTGGGGAGGTAGCGACTGATGGAGACCCCGATGGTGAAGCACAGATGACTGAAGTGCTGATGAAGACCTGATTCGGAGACGAAGAGTCAAGATTCGAGGAAGGATCAAGAGGGAAGAGACCAAGACCGTCGAAACTTGAGACCAAGGGGGTAAATCAGCAAAGGCAAAGGGAGACTGTGAGAGTGTGAAGGATCGGTCGGTGAGAGGGAAGAGACTGGAGCTTGAGTCCGCCGGCGAAGGGGAAGAGGCCGAAGCTTGAGTGAGAGATCTTGATCTACCGGCGAGGGGAAGATCTGCCGACAAGGGGAAGATTGATGGAGCTTGAGTGAAGGTTCGATTGTCGGAGTTTGAGAGAGAGAGAGAGAGAGAGAGAGAGAGAGAGAGAGAGAGAGACTTGAGGCGGAAAAATAAAACAAGGTCAAACCCTAGATTCCATGACTCCATCAACTTAAGTATTTATATGGGGTAATAACTGTAAACAAAAATTTTGATAGGTAATATTTGCAATAAGTTTAATTGATAGGACTAAAATGTAAATAGTTATCAAATAGTTAATAATCAACCGAATCGAACATACATTTGATTAAATTCTATTCATTTATAAGCCGAATATTAAAAATTATTTGTTTAGTATTAAATGAACGATTGAATCGAACTTGACTGAATATATGGATGAATAATAACCGAACTATTTATTAATTATTCGGCTCCCTTCCACCCCTATTGTGGAGCGTTCGTACTCCAACCAAACCTCCCCTAAAAATAAACCTCATCTAATCCACCAAATTACTCCCTAATCCCTATCCAATTCCTGCGTAATCTTCACGCGACGTTGGAATAAAGCGATCCTATTCGAGGACACCGGCTTGTCAATACTTTTCCTCCACCCAGCAGATAACCCCCAAAACGACACCCATGTATGACACGTGGGTCCCACACTAGCATACGGGGTTCGACCATGACATGGGTCGTCTCAAAGTACCGCCGCCTCTCAGCCCTCCAGATATTTCTATTTTCAGTCGGACGGCTCAGAGCGCTTGAAATTTAAAAAAAAAAGACAAAAACAAAAACCACCGAAGAAATATTTTCTCACCGGCTCTCTATATAAACAGAGAGACCTGCCCCCTTCGAGAAAACCAAACTTGTGTTCGATTCTTGCCGTAGGAGACGGTGACCTGAGGCCCTTGATTTGGTACGTTTTCTTCCTCTAATCGATCTAATTGTTCTCGATCGGGTTGGGATCCTGGGGTTAGGGTTTCGTTCCAGCCGTATTCGGGTTTTTTCCTGCATTTTTTTGGGGATTTTGTGGTATTTTTCGTCGGAAAACACTTCTGAGGAGAGGGATTCTTCATTACCCTCACAAAGTTTTTCACTTTTTTTCCCTGGATATTTAAAATTTTTTTTTGGATAGATCTGATGTTATTCGGTGTTATTTTGGTTCAGTAGGTTGTTTGATTGCTGATGGCGTCGAAGAGGATTTTGAAGGAGTTGAAGGACTTGCAGAAGGATCCTCCAACATCATGCAGTGCAGGTTTCCTGAATGTTTTTGTTTTTTCTTTCAATTTTATGGATTTCAGTATTATAGTTATCTTTATTCGATGAAATCCCTAATTTTTAATTTTAAAATTTTAGCAGTATTGGTATGATGCTAGTTTAGAAGTAGATTTGGGTTGAGTTCTTGTTTAAGGCTGTTTTTGGGTAACAAAGTGATGTTTTTGTCCCAAGTTTGGTGGGTCAGAAGTTCTTAAGAATACACAGATGGAATAAAATAATGGAACTTCATTCGTATTGTGCAAGGGGCGTATAGTGCTTTATCTTCATGTAGATGTCCAGGCGAATCTTCATGAATATATTATCGACTTTTGTATTGTCTGCCAAGCTCCAGGGGTTCATTTGATATCTAGGACATCTATTTGTCTAACTTGCAAGGATTATCTTGATCGATTTTGTTATTAAGACTTGTGGGGCTATAAATACTATAGGTTCACTTACTATATTATTGAAATTTGGAAATCACTCAACATTGCTTGGAGAGCTGAAAGTTATGCTTTGATTAAAACATGTGGAGAATGTACAAGTATTATTCGAGATCTTATAGGTATATTGTACGTTATGATAACCTTTTTTCAGTACTGTTTTTTGACTTGTCCTTATGGTACATAATTTGATAATTTCTAGTAATTATAAATTAGCCAAAAAATAGCCCGTCGTTACAGTGTTCCGTTGTTGAGAGTCTTCTCTGAAAAATAGGAAAAATAATTTTTGGTTAGAAATTAACCAAAATAACTCAAAAAATTAGCAATTTATTGAAAGCATGTTTGGCAACTTCGGATTATAATCCACAAATAGCATACAAGTCAAGTGAATTATTATCCAAAGTGTTTGGTAAATTTAGTTGATTATAATCCATTTTTTATATTAGTGTGCTTGGAATGAGTGGTTATAATCCATTCATGTTGTCAAAATGACCAAAAAGGGGTTGGAGACAGAGAAGAGGGCTTTAGAATTTTCTCAAATGCAGGGGGCAAAATGGTCTTTTACTTGGTCAAACTATGTAGCTTATAAGCCACCAAAAAATAAGCTGGGTTACCCCAACTTAATAATTTTCTGAGTTTTTTTTGACCGGAGGAATACATTTCTGACTTATAGAGAGCTGAGAAGTTGGCAACTAGTTATAGAACATAGTCAATTATATTCTGGATTTTGATGGTAAAGGTCTTCAATAAATGGTCTACTCAAAGAGATGGTTTTTGTGTCAGTGCAAGTACTGTGTATTTTCCAGCTTGAGGACTTGTATACAAACTTGCAAGGAATGCAGTCAATATAGGGTTGGAAACAGAATTAATTGAATTGAATATTGATGTCTTCATGTTTGTAGTTTTTTATAATCTTCGAACTTGAATTTCAAATTTGAAACTTCTTTGAATATGGACTCGAATACATATATCCTTCCAATATTGATCAAATATTTATCGAATGATGAACTTTTATCAGAGTTAATATTCTATAGTTTATGAACAGGAAATTGATTATCAAGAAAATTTTTATTTGGTTTGAAGAGAACTTTTATTTGACCATGGAACTTTATTCTTTTAATAACATTTAAATCTATGAGGGAAACTTTTCCTTTATAACTACTTACATACAAACCTGCAATTAAATTGTTCAGTTAGAAAAAGTTTGGGATTCTTAAACCTCTTAAAATGAGCATTGAACCATAAACCGAAAAATGTAGGAGATGGGAGATGATGAAACATAACATTATGTGGGTAAGTGTAGTCATAAGAAATTTAAACAAATATCTTATAAACAAACGAACCGAACATGTAAAGCTCATATTTGATTCATTGAGTGCGGTAGGGAGGTGAGATGGCGGCAGTTTGATTGTATCACTTGAGGCTGGTGAGAGTTGTTATTTTTAATTAATCGAGTTGATAATAATTTATAGAATAATTAAATCAATATAAATAAAATAAAATAGAATATCTCGAGTTCATTCCATTATTGTTAGCATGGGGGCTAAATCTGGGAAGTAAAATTAGCCCTCACAATGAATTTGTGGGGAAATTAAAAGTGTATGATCTGGGGAGTCCATAAAAATGGAACATCTCGAGTTCGTTCCTTTAGCATGGTGGGAAGTAAAATTAGCCTTCACTATGAATTAGAGCTAAAATTTGAAGTGTATGATCTGCTGAGTCTTAAAAAAACCATTCTGAAATTTGCTGGTGTTTAATTAGCTTGTCCATAAAAATTTAATTGCACATGGCTCAAATTTATTTAGTGAGACTTAAAAAAAGTAGCAGAAATTTTGTGATGTTCTATTAACTTATTTTATTTTCCTTATCTTTTAGGCCCTGTTGGTGAGGACATGTTCCATTGGCAAGCAACCATCATGGGTCCGACAGATAGTCCCTTTTCTGGGGGCGTTTTTCTAGTGACAATTCATTTCCCACCAGATTATCCGTTCAAACCCCCCAAGGTACCACTCCTTAGTTTGCTGTTTTGATGTATTTGCTTCTTCTGCCAGATTAAAATATTTGTCAGACGATATCTTGTAACGAATTATCATATAAGATATAAAGAGCTTAATTTTGAAGGTGTAACCCTCTTATTTGGTTTCCTATAAGGTTGTTGGTCTTCTAGGCAGAGCAGGTTTATTCTGTCTATAGTATTTAGAATATATCCAGATTCAAATAAGGAAGTGAGAAAGGACAACTTTTTAAAGCATTGATAGACATAGTGAGTGCAAATGATAAAGGAAGCTTGTTATATTCTAGCTTAAATATAACAAGGGAAGGAAGTAACTCTGTAGATTGCATGTGGTGAGTTACATGATTTCAGGGATATCATTCTTAACAGAGTTGAAAGTGTGAACATCATCTTTTAATATTGCCAGAAAGATTGCTTACATTTTATATGCTTCAGAAATCAGAATGCTTTGTCACTTGTTCTTTGATCTTGACCAAAACATCCCAGCTTCTTAAGACCTCCAATATGAATATTTGTGGACTCATCTACACTTTGTTACCCATTTCCTCACAACTTCCATAAAGATACTAGACAAACCTCTTACACAATCTCATAGTTGTTTAGGATGTCATCGCTTGGACGTGCCAGGAACACCACTGTGTCTGCCATTGAGGAATGAAATTCCAGTAAGTATTTAGTTGTAGTCTACTGCCCATCTTTGTGATATATTTCTTAACAATCTCAGAATCAGATCATTCCTAGTTGCTAAAATTTTTGAACTGTGTACTCAACCTATTGCTAATCAAAATGCCATCATACCTGTGGTGCTAAATTATTTTAATTATGTACTAACTCATTACCAAAAACCTTTTTCTTTTCTCCATGTTACATTTTGGAAGGGAATATATGCATTCATATTTAATTAGTAATTGTTTTTGACATGCAGTTTATGAATAAGTGTTTCAATTAGTTTTCTGTTAGCAGTGTTTTTAAAAAACACCCTAGGCGCCCGTCTAGGCGGAGGCGGTGCCCCAGGCGTCTCAAAATGACTTGAGTGGAGGAATTTAGATGCTGGGAGCGCTTACACGGCCGCTCAGACCTAAGCGGGCCGTTAAAACGGCCGGCCCAAATAAAAAAAAAACAAACGGTGCTGAAAACAAACCCAAACCCAAAACCTAAACCCAACTTAGTGATAAGTGTCGTGGAAACCCTAATTTTTGTTAAAATTTCCCCAACGCCGCCACGAATTCAAAACCCTGTTCGCCACGAGAAAGTTTGCTCACCTCGTCTTTGCTTCCCGACGCTTCTCGGAGCTTCCCGACACCTCTTGACGCTTTGTCGACGCCTATCAAAGCTTCGCCGACGCCTCTCGAGTCTCGACACCTCTCGAAGCTTCGCCGGCGCCGTCGAAGCTTCCCAGATCCTCTTCGACGGCTCTCAGAGCACCTCCGTCGATCTCAGGCCTCGTCTTCGATCCCCGATCTCTGTAAGTAATTAGTTAGTTTATAGAAAATTCTTAAATATCTATTTAAATATCTATTTAAGTTACTAAGTTAGTGTACGTGGAAGCTTCTCGATCTCTGTAATTATAAACTTAAGTTTAAGTTCCCCAATCTCTGTAACAATGTACAGTTACCACAGTAATTAGTAAACTTAAGTTTAAGTTAACAACTAAACTTAAGTTTAAGTTAACAACTAAACTTAAGTTAACAACTAAACTTAAGTTCAAGTTGAAGTGTTGAAAATGATGCCCATGTTTTCCATCTGTCTTTACTGGAAATGGAAACTTGGGGATTTTTTTCTTTTAAATAACTGTGCAAATTTGTGTTGCACTTCATTTGTTATTTGGTGTTATAAAAACCCATTTTTTTCTTTTAAATAACTGTGCAAATTTGTGTTGCACTTCATTTGTTATTTGGTGTTATAAAAACCCATTTGAAGAAAAAGCTAGAAATCTCTTCATTTGTTATTTGGTGTTATAAAAACCCATTTGAAGAAAAAGCTAGAAATCTTTAGTAACTATAAAGTGATACCTGCATTCATTGTTTTGGCACATATTCCTTACGAAGTTTCACCTTGGTGCTTTTCTATGGGCCTTCAAACTTTAACTTGGATTGTTGGAAAACTAATGTTACATTTGATATGTATACAAGTTAAGTCATGATGATGATGTTTGATGATGAGATTAGATTAGATGCATATTGTTAATTCATTATATTAGATCTAGACTATTCTTGTTTGACGGTGTTTTTGCTGATATTTTGGGACCTAAACTTCTAGTTATGGGATATTATATGCCTTGCTGTTTAGTATGTATGCATCTTTGATTGACTATTATAGTTTGGATAGCATATGTGTTGGTATTTTTGTATTTATGCATTTTTGATCGAGTATATATATATATATTTATATTCAAGTATCGCAATTCAAAAAAGAAAAAAAAGGCCCAAAAACTGCTTAGGCGCGCCCGCCTAGGCGTCTAAGCGTTGGGCGCCAAGTCTGGCGCCTAGGAGCGTCCAACGTTTAATGTAACATTGTCTGTTAGACGAAAGTTCCCTTCTTTTGATATTCCCATTTCAAAATAGACTTGGTTCATCTTTGTGTGACATGTTTGTTGTATAAAAAAGGAAGAAAAATAAATGACTGGAGATTCCTTTGTCTAATTTGTATATGCGTATGTGTAATTGTCTAAAAGAAGCTGCTGCTTTCAGCATCAGTTGAGCACTTAACGCAGAGGCATTTTGGCTATGGTTTTAAGGCACTCTGAATGTAGATTCGAATTAATGCTCTGTCTGCAGTTTGATAAAGATTGATTTGAGTGCAGTGTAATTCTTTTAGAAGAAGCGATATCTTAACTATTTTAATTTCTTTTCATATTATTGCTCATTTGTTTGAACTGGTTTTGGACCGATACAAATGCTTAAACCTGATCATGTTTAAATCTTCTTCTGTTCTAAAATAATTTCTCCTTTCAAGGTATCGATTTCTTTCTGTTTCTAAATTCTCCCAAGTGGACTTGTGACTAGATTTATTGTAAGTCCATACTTCATGTAAATACAACTTATTAGAAACTTACCTTGTGTATAGGTCTCATTCCGCACGAGGGTTTTCCATCCAAACATCAACAGTAACGGGAGCATCTGCCTTGACATTCTTAAAGAGCAATGGAGCCCGGCCTTGACAATCTCCAAGGTACTATGCTCTTTGCGTTTATCTTCATCAAGAAGTTATTTTGTTTACCCTAAATGTCGATAGGATAAATTGCAGATAACCCCTTGCATCCACTCATTACCCCTCAACTATTTTATTAGCTCTTATCATCCCTGGATTGGTATTTTTAGATGAATAAAGTACAAATAACTCATTTCTCCCTCACGAATGTCCTAATAACTCATTTCTCCCTCAACTATTTTTATAAGCATGCATTCTTTCGATAATAATGTAAGTTATCTCAATTTAACATGCATTATTTCAACACCCTACGTTATTTCGACATAACCTATAGACTAGTATTTTGATATAATTGATCATAGAAACTTCAGAGAATTTTCTTGTTATAGAAATTGTCTTACTTTTGAATTGTTTGTTAAGCGTTGATGGCATCATTATTCTTGTGATGATATATTTTGTAACTGTGATGATAAGATCTATTGAAACCATTGTAACTATTTGTATTTATTAAAGATTTAACTAAATGATAACACATGTGGCGTACATTACGCATTGTTTTGCGTTTACGTTATCGAGAGGTGATTGTTGCGTTATGCACTATTGTTATTTTCAATATTGCTACATACGTGTAAATGATGGGAGCTATCTCCAATGTACCCATGTTTACTTACATAGCCCTCGGGTGATTCTCTCTTGAAACAGGTCTTGCTGTCTATATGCTCCCTCCTCACCGATCCCAATCCCGATGATCCTTTGGTCCCTGAGATTGCTCACATGTACAAGACTGACAGGGCCAAGTACGAATCCACAGCGCGCTCCTGGACGCAGAAGTATGCCATGGGCTAAACATGGATCAGTATTATATGCTTATGCTGAAATCAGCTTGCTAAAGCAGTGAATAATGTTGACACTTCGTTTCTAAGCTTATCAGTGATTCAATTGAGTCTTCTTTTTCTAGTTAATGTGAAATGTATTGCTGTGTGGCGCGTTATTATATAATATATATCTTATATTGTGTGCCGGTGCTGGTGGTGTTATTGTTACTTATTGACTAACACTGGTGTTCAACCGCCATTTTTGTTAATTTAGTTATAGAATTTTCACTTCATATTTTCTTTGCTCAATCATTGAGATGTGTGCATTCAGTTATTAGTTTGAGCCGTGAGCATGATAATTAAACTAAAAACAGATATTTCACAAACTATTTGGGTGTATTTTGAGCAATTAAAAAAAAGAAAAATCTAAATTGACATAAAGAATGAAGCTAAATTTTTATATTGTAGTATTTAACATACATTTGCTAAGATATTGTTTCAAGACTTAGAATAATTAAGAAAAACTAAGAATAATTAAGAAAAACTAAGCTTACAGTATAAATATATAACATGTTTTGCATATATGCACCTTCACCAATGTTGATATTGACAACTATAAATTGTTTATAGTTTCGTGATCTCGACTTGGCCATGATTGATTTTGTCTAAATGATTTACATTCTTATCAAGGACATTGTCATACGATACATTTTCTCAATGCGCCATTGGTATAATTGGATAGCAAAACCCCAATTGGATAGCAAAACCTCATTGAGAAGAATTTACAGACAAATAAGCAACAAAGAAGAAAAATTACGAGCAAATAAGCAATAGAGGGGAAAAATTATAAACCAAGAAGCAACACAAGGGATATGTTGATGTACCCATAACAAAAAGATACACATATAAAATGGATAAAATACTTTCATAGAGTGGATTGTAGCCATAAACTCTTCAAAAAAAGTAAAGTTGGATGCATAGCAAAAAGCCCGATTAAACTCGCCTAATCAACAAATCACATCATCATGGAGTTGAAATTAATTGAAGATAAAGGGATCACATAGTCCTTTTATTGGGATTAGTTTGCAACATTTATAGAGAGGGGATGAATGGAGAGAGCGGTGAAGTTGATCAGATTTAGCCATCAGTGAAATTGAGCTGATGAAGTAGTGAGAGATAATGCAACTAGTGGTAAGTAAGAGATGTTAAATTTCAATACTTTATGAAATTGCAAGAATACATAGAAAATAAATAGTCAATTCTTTAAAAATTTGACATGTGACACCCAGGGTCTTGTTTTAGCATATTAGATAGGTAGATGGTAGTTCAGTTTACGTATGATACGCGTGCAAATATATTGAGTTAAAGCTAGTTACTTTCATGCAGTTTAAATTTGGTATCTATGCGAAGCTGCGATGTGGATACATTAACATTAAAAAAAAAATTTAAAGCCGGTAAACGAGTAGCAACCCCCTCAACGAGGGCTGTCCAAACGGTCCCCGCCCGGCCCAAATTTTTGGATCTGGGCCGGGCAAAATGTCTAGTTTAGACCCATACCCGGGGTGCCCGGGCTAGGCCCGGGTCTGGACCAAATCGGGCCTGGCTCCGGGCCAGTCCAGATTTTTTTTTTTTGTATTTTTTGATTTTTTAATAAAAATTAATTAAAAAAATTAGATTAATCTTATTATATTTATATAAGTATGTATTGCTATATACTTATGTTATACATACTTATGTTATGGTGTTTTCAGTCGCCAAATTATGACTCCTTGCCAGGTAAATATCCCCGTCATGCACCATTCAGTCAACTCGACACTTAGAGCAGTCAGAGTCGACCTAGCCGACTAGCCGAGTCGACATCTCGCTAGGTTGACTCGAATGACGATACTTGTCGGAATGCTTGGTATGTGTCATCATTTCTCTATCTCCGGTACTATTTATGACACATAGGAACACACCAGTTTCGTGCGCCGCCTATTCCATCTCATTAATGCTAAAGCGACAACGCCCATTCCCTGACCACTCAACAGCTGATGCGTGTAAAGTCGACGCTGACTTAGTCGCCAGCTTAGACTCGGTGGGGAAAGACTGAAATGCCCCTCCTGCATGATTGTAAGAAGGACGACTATTCCGAAGGTGAAGGTAAGCACTTTTTCTGAGAACTTTTCTCCATTATACTGCACCAGAGAACTCACATAGTTCACCACTTCCCCACTAAAGTACATCACTGACTTGATCGTCAGAGGAACAACGGAGGAACTAGTCCCCGTCCTCTTACGAGTTGTTACATGTGCATGGAAGAAGCAGATCAACTCAAAATCAGATATTCGGAAAAGTTAGCGGCCCCTACTCAATCTCACCCCACTACATCTGTGTGATTATTAACATCAATAGTTTGGCACCCACCATGAGGCTTTCTCTCTTTTTTCGAATAAGTATCTCTGGTTCTGAGCATAGGCCTAGTCAGACCATCCGTAGAGGACCACACCAGAGCTACATCACTCAAGTCTAGCTTGAAGAGACGGCTCAGAAGATCTCCCAATCCCTCCAACAGCAACTCGCTAACTTCACCAACGAGCTCCTCAGCTGGTTTCCACAACTGCAGCAAGCTACTTCCGTCATTCCTCCTCCTTCAGGAGACTAGCGATCGGGGACTCGACCCCATTCAGAAGCTCATCATGTCATCCCCCTCGGACTCCTTACGCTGCCGCCAAGCAGCGGAGAGATCGTGTCGAACACTCTGAAGCAACAGTGGAGAGATCATGTCATCCCCCTCGGACTCCTTACCACACCAGTCATCTTGCCCGACGGATCCTAGTCGGCGCCTCCTCCCTAACTCTGAAGCAACAGGCGAGAGCCCCGGTGTAATGACCATGAATTTTTGATACTGGTTTAATTTTTTTTTGATATTTTAAAATATTAATTTATTAATTTTAAAAGAGTATTTATATTTTTTATGATATTATTATTGTTACATATTAATTGTAAATATTTTCCTTAATTATTCTATTATTCCTTAATTTTTCTTAATTATGTTTAATTAAACCCTAATCCCCTCTCCTATATAAATCTTTTTCTCTCTCTTCCCCTCCTCTCTTTTCACGCCGCCAGAGAACCCCTCCCCATCCCTTCTCTCTGCTTCATCTCTCATCTCTTCTCTGTGTCTCTCCACCTCTCAAACAAGCCATCTCTCTCTCTCTCGATCTCTCTCTCGTCTCTCTCTCGTCATCTCTCTCTCTTCTCCTCTCAACTCTACAGCAGCCGTCGCCCCTCCTCTCCCATGGGTAGCTTCTGCTACTTCCCTCACTGGCGCGACCAGCCCAAGCTCACGAGCCGGCTCGCCCTGCCTCTCTCTCCTTCCCCAAGTCCTGCCTCGGCCCCAGCCTGCCCTTCGGTCGCCGATCATGCCCTTGCCTTCTCCTCCTTCACGACCAGAGTCCCCGATGCCACCCGCTCCCAACTCTAGCGCCGTCCTCGCCCTCCACCCGCCGCACGCTACCCTCCTTATCTCCGCGATGACCCCCCTCGGCCTCCCAGATCCTCCACCATCGCCATCATCGCATCGCTCCCGTTGTCTCCAGCCCCCTAGAGCAACCCTTGCCGTCGTTGACCGTCTCCCATAGGTCACTCCTCTATCGTCACTGCTGCAGCTTCTCTCCACCCTCTTATAGCCCTCGACCGTTGCTCCTCTCCGTCCGACAGCAGCTCCACCCGACGCCCCTCTCCCACCACCAGATCCGCCGTCGTCGCCCCTCCGACTAGCGACATCACCTTCGCCATAGCCTCGTACTACAACGTCGATTCGTTCGACGTTATCCCGAGGCAAGATTCCCTCTCTTGTCTCGTGTTAAAATTATTGGATAGTTAATAATATTGGTTAGATTATTTCATGTATAATTATTTGATAGTTGTAGTTCCATCTTGCACTGTTTTTAATAGTTGTTCACGATTCCTGTTCATGATTCATGACACTAACACATAGTATTAATTACATTTATCATCTCTTGTTATAATTGAGAATTACGAGAAATACATGACTATGATGACATGTGTGATTTGAATAAGACGTAGAGGCTTGTGTGTTTGTTGACTTGGAAATACAAGAGATCTTGGGACGGGAAAGTCTTAGTTCATGTGATCGGATATGATTGTTAATGTATCTTCCAGACTCACACCAGTGAATTATTTCGCACTAGGGTTGGTTTGTTGGTCTAGAGAATCGTTTCGCACTTTGTCAGTGAAATCATTTCGTCACCCGAGTCCTGCTTGTGCCTGGACAGGCCGGAATCAGATTGCGTGTAGTCCTCTCACCGAACCGTTTCGCGGGTTTGGATACACGCAGAGGATTTGTGAACAGTCATTTATCCGAGAATATGAACATTGACTCTATGTGAGATATGGACATTTGATCTATTTTAGGATGGCTAGTACTCGACCTTGTTATTTGTATAATGTTGGCCCCTTATGACTATTATGATCTAGTGGTGGATTACATTTTGATTTGTTAGATTTCCTATTGTACGTTTCTATTGTCATTTTTTTTGTTGCATCTGTCATTGTATTAGTCATTCGACCATTTTTATTTTCCTTTGTGGGGTCTTGCCTTGTGCCATGCACGTTGACGTACACTTGTTTTCTCTGGTGTATGTCAGATTTAGAGGACGGACAGATCCAGCTTGGAGACACGCCAGAGTCAGAGTAGTTTCAGCAAGAGTGCTTTATAGACTGAGCAGAAGAAGAAGCCGAAGCTTAGTTATTCTTTTCAAATTGCTTTTGTAGCACTTTCCTTTTTAGATGGACGATGTATTTTTATATTTCTCCAGTATTCAGTTGTTCAGTTTTTTATAAGGGCACGTTGACCCGAATATTATACCTTGGATGATATTTCTTTTATGATATGGATCATTTTATTTCGAGTTTGTCTATTATATTCTTGCTAACTATGATCGGGGACCTGTGATTTCGCATTTATTACTTGACGCTTAACGTATTAGGTTAAGAAGAAATATTTTTATTTATTCTCCTCAATCTAATACGCCATGAGCTTGTTTATGTTCCGATTCCTGTGTATTTTAGGAAGTGAGCGTGACACCCGGCCCTAGTCGCCCTAAGGAGCACACTAGGGTAGGGATATCTGAGACTCCCCATCATCAACATAACTCTTTATCGCCCTCAATAACCCATGGAGCATCATGATATGATCGGGTGTATAGATCCATCGTCGAAGC